CAAGTGCCTTTGCTTCTGAGCCATCTTGTGGCCCTAGTGCCCCCTACTGAACTTCCTCACGCCTCACTCTACCCTACTCTTCTATTTAGTGATCACTCTTCCAATTCATTCTACAGGTTGACTAACCTGTTTCTACAGGTAAAAATATGTGATGCTTGTCTTTCTGTGTCTGACATAATTTGCTTAATATATTGACTTCTAGTTCCATCCATATTGCTGTAAATGAGAATTGCACTTTTTATGGCTAAATAAAGAAAAGGGTATCCAGGTGTTCTCTCACCCTAAACCTGGGACTCATGTTTCTTTTTATTTATTTATTTATTTGCTTATTTACTTTATTAGCTTGGCTGGAAGCCAGCAATCCCTAGTGATCCTCTTGTTTCCACCTGCCTCAGAGCTAGAGTTACAGTTGTGCCCTGGATACCAGGCTTATTGTGTATATGCTACAGTGTGAACTATGGTCCTCATACTTGTATAGCAAGTTCTTTTGATCACTGAGCCATCTTTCCAGCTCGTCCCTTTTTTTTTTTTTTTTAAAAGATAGTGTGCTGTTGTGACCTGCTGATGGGGCTTGGTATTTTTTTTTTTTTTTTTAGATATTTAAAGTACAGCTGTACCTGCTTCCTTTTGCATATGCATTAGTATAGGGTTTTAACCCCAGCTCTATGGATATTTAGACAAGGTGATTCTTTGTTATGGAGCAATCCCATACCTGACAATTTTAGTAGCATCCCAGCTCCATTGCACCAGGTGCCAGTAGTATCACTGTTCTGAGTTATGGTAACCAAATATACCTGCAGTTGTTAAATGCTCCCAAGGGGTAAAAAAAAAATCAGCTTTGGTTGAGAACTATTGCTTTTATTTATTTTTAGTATGCATTTCTGTAAGTGGTATTGCTGAACCTAAGGTATCAACATTTAAGCTTTAAGAAAATTGCTAAATTATTCTCAAAGAGATTGTAACATAACATGTTAACACTTTAACCATTGACATCTGAGGTTATTTTACAATTGTCATCAACACAGTGGTTTGGTACAATTTACCATAGTGTGGTTGGTTGGATGGTTGGGGGTTTTGACAGTCTCATGTATTCTGAGCTACCCAAAAACTTAATATATAGGTAAGGGTAGCCTTGAACTTTGAGCCTCCTGCCCCGGCCTCTTGAGTACTGGGATTACATGCATGGGCTACCACACCTGGCTTAGAATAGAGGTTTAAATAACATTTTTGTTTGTTTGTTTTATAGTTACCTTTTTTTTAATTGAGTACTTGCTGTGAATGTAATTTTTATTTTTTCATTATCTCTCTTTTTTTTCTTGTGGATTTTGTGCCCTATGAAATACCTCGAAGACTATTTAAAATTTGTTGTTCAGAATTCAAAATAATCTTGATTTTCTTTGGGTCCTGTTCTACTTTTATTAATGCTGCTGTGGCAGATACCAGTTTTAGTTGAGAAGGGGATGTATTTGTCTTATACTTTGGGTTGCAGCTCATTACTGAGGGAACCCAAGCAGGTAGACTGCTGGCTGGCTTTCTCATTTATTCTTAGCTACCTTTCTCATATAACCCAGGACTATTTGCTAGGAAATGGTGCCACCCATAGTGGACTGGCCCTCTGTGTCAATTAACAATCAAGATAGTCCCCAGCAGACATGCCTACTGGTCAGTTTAGTTTAAGCAATCTTTTCACAGGTGTGTGTGTGTGTGTCTATACAGCTAACTAGGACAGTTCCTTGCAGAGTATGAATTGTTAATTGATATCTAATGTGTGACAAGCATGTACTTTGTGGTCTAAACTGTGTGTGTGTGTGTGTGTGTGTGTGTGTGTGTGTGTACATGCACACATGTGTGTGGACATGTAAAGATCAGAGGGTAGCATTTGGAGTAGGAGTGGTTATAGCTCCTGCTACATGCCTATGACTAGATATGAACTGGTGTAGAGGTTTAAATGAATTTAAATAATTCATTTCCCAACTTTTTCTAGGGCTCCTGTCTTTTCCTACTTGGCGTTTGCTTTTTCACTTGATTGCTGTCTATAGGTTATTTGTTCACTGACTATTAGCAATATATTATGCTATTTGTTCAGCGAGTCACTCCCAAGGATTGAGGAGACTACTCTAGCTAAACTAAAAAGTTTAGCTAGTTCAGCTGTTGGCTCTGTCTCTGACTACAGTGAAACTGTCTTCCTTTCTGACACTTAGAACTAGTTGGGTCTTGTGTTTTTCTCTGGAACAGTTGAGTATTTTGGGGGGGGAGGGGAGCTTTTGGTTGATGTGATTCTCAGTGTTTGGCTGGAATCTGGCTGTGGAAGCTAAGAGAATAAGCAAATATTAATTAATGGCTTCTCTACCACATAGTGTTGTATGTTACATGAGGCAAAGTGATTATCTTCTAATTGAGCAGTTTTCTGATATTTCGGGTACTTGTGACTTCAATATTTCTGTTAATCCTCCAAGGTGTGTAGGAGATTATTTTTTAACTGCAGTTTATTGTTTCCTTGACTTCTAAGAATTTATGTATTGGTGTTGGCCAGAGAACTTGTCAGACTAGTTCAGTGTTCTCTGGTTTGGAGTTCAGCTTTCATGAGCAAGTACTCTGGGGGGGGGGTGAGGGGGGAGAGGTCACCACCTCTCATGGCAAAAAGGATAGGTACAAGCCATTTCTGTGAAGGCTCAGTGGTTAGTATTTTAGGCTTTTGCAGGCCATGGTTTCTGTCACACATCTTTATTTCCATATCTCTTTAAAATTGTAAAATCCATACAAAGCTCTGGAGCTTTATAAAGCAAGCCATAGCCAGAAATCTGTGGTTGGCCAACTCTTGGACTAACTGAAGAAATGAGTGTGTTGCCACATGTTTTTATTTTAGTGTTTTGGGGACATGAACCCAGAATAACCTTGGGAATTCTCAGCTGATTATGATGCAAAGAAGAAATGTTCAAAACTTTGACATGTGGGTCAAATTTGATATGTGATAGTCATGCTGGGCCCGTGGAATGAGAGGTAACCTTGGGCAGTGGGACAGAGGGCTCTTGCTGCATCTTCTCGTGGGAATGCTGGCCAAGGGGAACAGGAGCCAGGATAGAGGGTATGGCTCTTGAATTAAGCTAGGCTCTGATAGGTGTAAGGAACACAGTGACGCAAATTCCTCAGTCACTTTGAGGATGTGGTTAGAAATCTGGCATGTATAATGAGTTTGGCCAGTTTTTAAAAATGAAAAAAACACTCATGTACTTGGATTCTGAGAACAGCAAATTCTGATACATGACTCCAGATCTATCCTGTGGTGTTTCTCAATAGAAAATCCTCAGTACCTTGCATAAGCAAGGTACTGATTATTTCAGGGTTGTTTGAGATGTAGAAAGCCATAAATGTTGTTAAAGAACATGGGATAAGAAACAATCCCTTCCCCTTCTACTGTACTAATAGGTTGCATGACTCTGGGAAGTTTAGTTCTAAATTTTATTGTCTTCATTTGTAAATGGTAGTGGTGATGACTCTACCATAGAGTGGTAAGGAAAGTAAATGAGGACAGTGTGTGGATAATGCTTCAGCTCAGTGTCAATAGTACCATTTTCTATTACATTTGCTTATTTTGTGGTGCATATGTGGAAGTCAGAGGGCAACTTGTGGGAATTAATTGTACTATGTGGGTTCTGGGGATCAAACTCAGGGCCTTAAGCTTGGTGGCAAGGTCCTTTACCCACTGAGCTACTTCACCAGCCCTGAGATAACACATTTAGTTCATAAAACACTGATCAAAATTGTTGGTAAGTCAGTACCTATTTGTTCAGTTTCTTGCACTGTGTATTGGGACAAAACTGGGAGGTTGTTCCTGGAGTGTAGCTATGTTATAGAGTATTTGCCTAGTATAGTTAGGGAACGGCCTGGGTTCTGTCCCCTGCAACACATGGTAAACATTTTTTGCTAGAAAGATTTGATAGGATACTTCAGAGTTCAGGACTTGCATTAGTAACTTGTATTTGGAATGAGTACTATATATTGGATTACTTTACTTTTTGTATTTAGAATGAGCACTATATATTGGATTACTTTACTTTTTTTTTTCTTTTTCTTTTCTTTTTTTTTTTTTTTTTTTTTTTGAAAAGTTTCTCTGTAGCTTTGGAGCCTGCCCTGTTACTTGATCTGTAGACCAGCCTGGCATCGAACACACAGAGATCCTCCTGCCTCTGTGTCCTAAGTGCTGGGATTAGAGGTGTGCCAAATGTAATGGATTGGAAGGCTTAATTTCTATGGAAGAAATGTGATAAATATCTTGTAAAAGTTTAAATGTGTATTTTCCTTTCTTCTACAGTTCTAGTATTCTAGGAATTTTGCTGCTACTAAATCATATGTGGTAGGATTATTTAGCACAGCAATATTTAACAAAAAGGTAAAATTACTAGTGTCTAGTCTTAAAAGATAAATTACCTTAATCCTGGTATGTTACTTTAGTTGCAAACTGTGCACCCCCAAAGAGTGGGGGAGCTCTGTTTTTACTAACAGAACTCTCTTCCAAGTTAAGATAAAATAAAAAGCAATATGAAGAACAGCATGCCTTGTTAGTAATGTCCTCATTTTTGTTGCCTGGTCGTGAGAAGGATAGGAACAAATGATTTTCCTGTATGAGTAGAAATTATATTGAGAAGAACACAAAGCTGGTCCCACCTGTTATGGGACAAGTCATAATGCGATTTGCATTCCATACTATACCCTTAGTTTTCAAAATATGTACTATCAGAAAGTTGGTGTGACTGTAGTTCCTCTCATGGCAGTTGAAAACACTATGGAAACCTTTTTTGTTTTTTTGTTTGTTTGTTTGTTTGTTTGTTTGTTTTCTCCATATGTGTATCTATTTGCCTGCTTCTTTTTGACCTTGATGATTAGAGAAACTGGCTATGGGTTCACCCTAAAACAGCTTTCCCTTGCCACACATAAGAAGCACATTGACATTTCTCCTCTTGCTTTGTGTGACTGATGGTGTTTCTGTTTTCACCCCCCAGCTCTGGCAGCATGTAAACAACCTTTTGCCAAGAACCCAGGTCACCACTGAGAAGGGTGCCTTAAGGGAGAAGAATATCAGAGGACACCAATGCCAGGCGTGTCTGGAATATTGCTCGGTACAGGCAGCATGAGACATTCTGTGCCAGCCTCTGTCTGTTACTGGCAAAGGCTGGGGCACTCCGGGTAGGAGGGTCCTGGGGCAGCCAGCACCGGGAGCATCCCCCCCCCCCAAGAGAGCATGGGACCAGCTATGAACTCTTTACAGTGAACTCAGTTTTAGCTTATGAAGGAATTTTAAGTAAAAGTTACTTCTGTATACTGACATTGAGAAGCCTTTGGTGTGAAGTGCCAGCAATTACTCTTGTCTACTGGAGTTATCAGGATTCTTCTGGCACCAAGGTGGACTCTTCTTGGTACATCTGGCAATACAGACCTTTAGGACAAATTTACCTGCTGAATGCTTGTAAAACCTTGGAAGCAGCCCACATAGCCTCTTTTGCCAGTCACTCAGGGCTCGGATGCTGTTCCTGAAGCCTTGTCCTGCCTCATTGACCACAGCTCTATCTGCACCAAGAAGACCTGGAATTTCTGGGGTGCTCCTGTGGCCCTTTTCATCTATTGTTCTACACCACAGCTCTGTATTCAGGCAGTTGGATGGCATGAACTTTGAGATGGAGTTTGTCACCTGTGGGGGACTGGCTTCCTTTCCAAGACTTGTGCTGTTGGAAGGGACCATCTGAAGACGTGTTTGTGTGTATAAAGGAGGGCACCAGCCTGACCTGCATCCTCCACCATGTTCCTGTTGCTGCCTTTTGATAGCTTGATTGTCAACCTTCTGGGCATCTCCCTGACTGTCCTCTTCACCCTGCTACTCGTTTTCATCATAGTCCCTGCCATTTTTGGAGTCTCCTTTGGTATCCGAAAGCTCTACATGAAAACATTGTTAAAGATCTTTGCGGTAAGTTGTACTATTGTGATAGGTTTCCTCACAGGGGAGAGAAGGGCATTAGTAGGAAGAGTGGTTCTTACCAGGAGTCCTTTTACCTTCTACATCATGGTGGGGCTTAGACATCAGAAAGTGCCTCATGCAGAACAGGTAGTCGGACATAAGGCTTTTACTAATGGACTCCTTTTGTACTCTCCCACAGCAGTCTGGGGTCGATCCTAAATTCATGTGAGAAGAATGCACAGAAAAGAGCATTTCACTTTTTCAGAAAGATAGAGAATACATCAGAACTTAACATACTGTGGAACAGAACTGGCTGTATTCAATGGAAGCAGATGTGAAGTAGTATCTCCTAGAAGTTGACCTGTGCTACAAGACTTTAATATGTAGACAGACAGTTGCTACTTTAGTTGCAGAATGTTTTCAGTAGTCACCAAATACTCAGGAATTCTTTTCCACAGCTGACACTGCATAATTTGAGTAATGTACCATGATAATATGATGCACTCGTTCATGTGATATCTTATAGGTTTGTTTGGTTTAGTTGGTGGTTCTGGCATGCTTTGTAAACACTCTGCAGTCTTTAATTTGTTTTCCCACATTCTTTTAGTTCTTTTGAGTTCTGTGGGCTGGAGAGGTGGCACAGGGGTTAAGAGCATGTACTGCTTCTTTTAGAGGACCCAGGTGTGAATCCCAGGACCCACATCCAATGACTCATAACCACCTGTAATGTTAGCTCCAGGGGAATCTAACACCTCTGGCCTCTGTGGGATCTGCACTTAGTTTAGTGCACAGGCACATACAGATATGCACACATACACACATGATTTTAAAAAATTTGAAATTGAGGTGAAATAAGAAGACGACAAATCCAACCATTCTAAACACAGTTTGGTGGCATTCCGTATGTTCATGTGATACAGTCACCACCTGTTCTACTGCCATATGTTGCTATCACTTAAGAGGAAGCTCTTAAGCCAGGTACAGTAATTCCAGAGTAGGGGATAACTAGTGCAAAGGTAGTCCAAACTCACTCATTAGTCTGTCCTTGTTTCCTCTTCTAAGGCCCTGGCTAACACAAACTGTGTTCTCTGAATTTACCTATTCTAAATATGTCCTGTGAATAGAATCCTACATGATGCACTCTTCTTTGTTTGCCTTCTTTAACTTAGTATTTTCAGAGCTTACCTGCTTGGTAGTAGTTGTTGGTACTTTTGGGTGATAGATGTGGTTGAATAATAACTCAGTAGGTATCTGTGATGTGGTTTGCTTATGCATTCATCTTTGATGAACTGTTTTCCACCTTATGGCTACTGTAAATAGTGCTGCTGTGGACTCATGTTAGGAGTACCTGTTTGATGTTACCCTTTATTTCCTTTATGTTTATGTTAGCCTGTGTTGGTGAACATGTGTACATGCGGGAGCCTGAGGTTGATGGTACCCATTTTCCTCAGTTGCTTTTCTACCTTAGTCATCTTTCTTGCCCCTAGAAATTGTCATTTTAAAAACAGATGTGTGTGGGGAGGGTGTGCACGCATGTTGTGCACTCTCTTACATGGTTGCGTGCATTCTACCAATGAGCTCAATCCTGTGAATTAATCTTAGTGGACTCAAAGAATTGATGCTACTTTCATCAATGACAATATTTAGGTACAGGCTAAGATGTTATCAAACTTTGGAAAGTATGTATATGTGTATCCGTGTATATACATCTAAATATACCTACACTTGTATGTGTTAATTGCTTGGTTTTGAGAAATGCCCAATGGGCTACTATAACATTCTGCTGTCATAGACTGATGACCTATAAAAACAAAGTTTCTCCAAGAATAAGGTGCTGGCAGCATTGTCTGGCCAGTGCCTACTTCCTGGTTTATAGACTTTACTGTGTCCTCAGGATGATGGAGCTTGATGGGATCCGTTTTATAACCACATTCCTTTAAAAGAGTTCTTTCATTGTTTTATGTGTATATGTATGTGTATCAAGTGAGTATAGGTATAGTGGAGACCAGAAAAGGGTGTCAGATCTCTTGTAATTGAAAGTATATGTGGTTGTGAACTATTTAATTTTGGGTGCTGGGAATCAAAACCCAATCTTCAAGAGCAATAAGTGATCTTATCAGCTTAACTATCTCTTCAGCCCCTATAACCTTATTCTTGAGGGCATTTCCTTCATAACCTTATTCACCTCTGAATAATATCATATTGGAGATTAGGTTTCAGCAGAATTTGAGGACAAAGATTTTTGTCTCTGGCATAGAATGACTTATTTTACCTTTAAAAGATTCTTCATTTTTTTCCCTAAACTGGGAGGATATGCATATTTTTAGAATTGGAAGAAAGCTAAAAGATTATCATAATTCTTTAGTTCTCCCTCCTAACTAAACATTTTAATCACCCAGGGAAACATTTAAGTACTTATTTTAGGCTGCGGATGTAGCTTACTGAAGTGTGTTATGCATGTACAAAGCATTGGGTTCAATCTGCAGCACAATATTAAACAGAATGTAGTGGTACATTCTTACCCCGGGACTCAGGAGGTAAAGTCGGGAAGTCAGAAATTCAAGGTCATCCTGGGTGAGTTTGAAGCCAATTTGGGATGCATAAGACCCTCTCAAAAAAAAGTGCTTATTTTGGGTACTAGTATCTTGATCGATTGGTCTTGTCATGAGCAGTTTTATAAAGCTCTCCAGATAATTTTGCTGGCTTTTGAAGGGAAGTAGTCTGATTCCCTCTTCTTTAATGTGGACATATTTAGTGATTGGTTTCTGTCTCTCGTTCCTTCCCTCTTCCCTCTCTTCCTTCCTCCCTGCCTCCCTTCCTCCCTCCCTCCCTCCCTCCCTCCCTCCCTCCCTCCCTCCCTTCCTTCCTTCCTTCCTTCCTTCCTTCCTTCCTTCCTTCCTTCTTCCTCCGTTCGTCCATCCGTCTGTCTTGCTGTTTTAGAGATTAATCCTAGGGCCTTATGCATGAGGTGAGACAAGTACTCTACCACTGAGCCACAGACCCTGCCCTTAGTGAATAGTTTCTAAGTCAGATTCTTTTGTACATGAGCAAGGGGTCATCAGTTTATCCCATCAGTACATAAATTAAGCATCAAGTTGGAATGTGCCTGGTTGACTAGTTTGAGTGTATTTGGGGAATTCTAACTAGTCAAGGGATCAGGTAGAAGACTGCAGACTCAGAGGAAGTTCACTAAAGTCACCAAGGAGGAGGAAGAACCCTGAAGTAAAAGAACAGCCTGTTGATGAGTCAGGGTCTTTTAGAATTCATCTCTCAGACTCTTTGTTCCTTTGGCATATCACCAGTTGCATCTGCTTCTATGTTCTTGGAGTTCACTGGTTTCATCAGGGCATGCACAGATAATTTTGTTCATTTGATCCCCAGAAATTACATGGTGGAAGGGAGAGAACCAGTCTTCTCACAGGTTGACCTCTGACCTCCACATCCCCCCCATACACACACATACCCCACACAAATAAGCAAATGCTGTGATGATGGGTATCCTTGCAGGGGTAGGCTGTAGTTAAAGGAGACATGTTTTACTAACTACTTTCTAAGTGCCTGGAGGCAGATCTAGGCAATGAGAAAAGCACCCTGAACATCTTGTCATGGCTTCATGACTTTTTAGCACTTTACTGCTGGGAACTCAGAGTGTGTTCCTGGTCAGTGAGTCGGAGCCCTGTGGACAGGGTGAGGCCTCTTTGGAAGGTGTGCTGCTTGGCTGCTACCTCATGTCAAACAACTAGAATTGAATTGTTCACAGACTAAAGAAGTAGGGTGATTACTGATTAAAAGAATATCACTCTTGCTGTCATTTTACCATTTTCCTCCTCAGTGGGCTACCTTGAGAATGGAGAGAGGAGCCAAGGAGAAGAACCACCAGCTTTACAAGCCCTACACCAACGGTAGGATTGGGTATCTTAGTGTTAAAGAGCCTCTGAAACAATACCCAGAGTCTTGTAGAGTCTTAGTCCTTGCTCTTGCCTGTAACAGAATACCTCTTTCTTCTTTGTAAAAGAAAAAGCTTGACCTTCTGGTAAGTAGAAAACTCAGACAGGTGCTGAGCCAGATAGCTTAGTGAGTAAAATGCTTGCTGTACATTTACATGGGTTGGATCCCCAGGCCCATCTAAAACCTAGGTTCAGTGACATACTCCTGTAAAACTCCAGTGCTAAGAGCTAGAGACAGGCAGATTCTCAGAGCTCAGGGGCTAGTTAGCCTATCAATCATAGAACTTCAGGTTCACTATGACCCTGCTAAAATGTGTGGTGGAGAGTGATGGGGGAAGATACTTTACATTGAGACCTCTGGGCTGTATGCTCATGCAACTCTCCCTCCCTCTCTTCCTCTCCTTCCCTCCCCCCCCTCCTTTCTTCTCCTCTCCTCTTCTCTCCTAATATATCCCTCTCAAGCACTCTCTCACACACAGAGACAGAAAAGAAAACATGGGTAGAGTAGAATACCACTGATGAGGGCCCCTTGGTCACATTGTAGTATGGCAGATGGTACCAAAGGGCAGGAGGGAGGGAAGAGTTGGTTTCAATACCAAGAGTATAGGGAGATATCTGGCTTACTTTTTAAAAACAAACTGATCTAAAGAACTGGGCATAGTGGCACATGCCTGTGATCCCAGCAGTTTGGAGATAGAAATAAGAGAATCAGGAATTCAAAGACATCCTTAGCTTCTTAGTGAACTACTGAGACCTTATCTCAAAAACAAGCAAACAACCAGAAATCCACCAAAACCCCAACCTGATGTGTGAATGAATGCAACCCTGAAGAACCCACCCACCCAGAGCAAGGACAGTGCTGCTCTGTTCAGGGACAGTAGTCGCATGGCCTAATCCTATTAGCTAATCTCTTATTCCAGGTTTGTTTGTTTGTTTAAAGACAGGAGCTATCTATGTAGTCCTTGCTGACCTCAGACTCAGAGATTTGATTGCCTCTGCCTCCTGGGTATTGGGATTAAAGGCATTTGCTACCACACCTGATGATTTTTATCATACAAGTGATTTTGTTTCATACAAAGTATACAATGAATTTTAGTCCTTTTCATCCCCTATTTCCCTACCTCATCTCCCTTTCTTCTACAAAAACCCTTCTTTTTCTCTCAACTTTCATGCCTTTTTTTTTTTTTTTGTAAATGACTCACTTAGTTTAAATAGTGTTACAAGAGGAGCCTAGGTGGAAGTTTATGTATCAGAGTTTGGTAGACCTCACCACTTCAAGCCCCAGCACTTCTCATGTTGTATTGAGAGCTATCTCTGCTCATGAAACTCTAGAGTGCATACTCAGCCCACATCCAAACCATGATACATGTATCCTTTGTACTTTAAAACTCAGTCATCCTATACAAGTAGCACGCCACTTGACTAGGAATACTGTTTTTTTGTTTATTTGTTTTGTTTTTGCAGGAATCATTGCAAAAGATCCCACTTCTCTGGAAGAAGAAATCAAAGAAATTCGTCGAAGTGGTAGTAACAAGGCTCTGGATAAGACACCGGAGTTTGAGCTCTCTGATATTTTCTACTTTTGCCGGAAAGGAATGGAGACTATTATGGATGATGAGGTGACAAAGAGATTCTCTGCAGAGGAGTTGGAATCCTGGAACTTGTTGAGCAGAACCAATTATAATTTTCAATATATAAGCCTACGACTTACCATCCTCTGGGGGTTAGGTGTACTCATTCGGTATTGCTTCCTTCTACCACTCAGGTGAGGCTGGGCCTTGGAAACCAGTAAAAGCTGCTCTCCGTGTGTGCATGGCTTACCCACATCCCTTTGCCTTGTTTTCCATTATAAAGGAGGACAGTATGGTTTTTTTCTATGGATAGTCTATTTTACTCTTGGAAGAGCACACTGGGGACTTCCCTTCAAGTCCTTATATCCTTTACATATAAGACAAATAATTGAGTTTCTTTCTTTTTTGCATGCGTGTACACATGTGCGCGTGTGAGAGACAGACAGACAGACAGGGTCTCACTGTGTATCTCTGACTGGCCTGGAACTCACAGAGATCTACCTGCCTCTGCCTCCTGAGTACTGGATTAAAGTGTACGTACACCAAGCACCGAATCCAGACAGTAGTAGGATTTCTTAAAGACCATTTGCTTCTTGGGGAGACTGAACACAGGGCAGAGAGCGTCATATAATCCCTGGCCCCTCTTTCCTAGGCATAGCCTTTCCTGAAACTTGCCTCTGCTTCTCTGTGCTCTTCTCGGTTTGTCTTTGCCAGATGCTGGTACCTTCCAACTCCACCTCCTTTTTAACAGAGGTTTTCCCTCTGCCAGGGTATCCAACCTAATAAGCAAGATCAGACTAGCAGCTGCCTAGTGCTGAAGAGAGAGTTCCACTATCTATTTAGAATTGTAGTCATCTCAATACAAATGGTTTCTCACATTTCCAGGGGAAGCTCTTGTCGGGTCTTGTGGTTTTCATGATTCTTGCCTTTGTCTTCACATATTCACTGAATCACTGGTTTACTGTATTTTGTCTTCTTACAGGATTGCTCTGGCATTCACAGGGATTAGTCTCTTGGTAGTGGGTACTACCATGGTTGGATACTTGCCAAATGGGAGGTAAGTACAGTGAATGCATATGTTAGCAGCTTGCTCTGAGCATGGTGCCTGATGATGGAGGCAATCACAGCTTCAGATGTCAACACAATCCTTGAGTCTTAGGTGGTTCAAATAATCCACAGTTATAGTGCTGTCTGTAGTAAATGGCTTTTGTTTTGTAATGGATATGAGATAGTAGCTGTGTGTACTTACTTCTTGCAATTCAGCCCTCACCATCTTCCCATTTTAGAGTAAAAAAAGGCAGATACCATAAAGGAGTTCAGGCTCAGGCATTAACAAATTGTTACGGCATGTTGTTGTTTTTGCTGGGTATCAAAGGACCCTGTATGCAGAGTAAGTTCTCTGTTGCTGGTGTACACCCATGACAAATAACTTAGATGTGAGTAGATTTTTTTCCTCACCATCCTTTTAGTTTTGTTTTGTTTTGTTTTTCGAGACAGGGTTTCTCTGTGGCTTTGGAGACTATCCTGGAACTAGCTCTGTAGACCAGGCTGGTCTCGAACTCACAGAAATCCACCTGCCTCTGCCTCCCGAGTGCTGGGATTAAAGGCGGGCGCCACCACTGCCCGGCCCACCCTTCTTTTCTTAAGGAAACTGTAGAGTAAAGTTTTCCCTGCCAGCCGCCTGGGCTCTGCCACAATTGCAGTCCCCAAATAACACACAAGACACTGTACTAATTATGAAGCTGTTGGCCGTTTGCTTGGGTTTCTTACTGGCTATATCTGACTTAAGTATTTAACCCATAATTTCTAATCTAAGTATTTCAGTCTTACCAGAGAAAGGGTCCGGACCTCTTACTCCTATGGCGGCTACATCATGACTGCCTGTGTCTCTCTTTCCCAGACTCCTCCTCAACTCCTAGTCCCACCTATCTTGCTTCCCTATTGGCCAACAGTGCTTTATTGACATATACACAGGACTTCCCCATCATCTCCTCTTTTCTGTCTAAATAAAAAGAAAGGTTTGAACTTTAACGGAACAGTTATCAAGGAAGATCATAGTTACAATATTTTGTCCATTAACATTTAGTAAGATTTAAAGAAAATATCATCTATCTTTATGAGTCCAAAGTCCTATATGTAGCTTGCTTATCTTTTATCATAACTAAGGAAAACTATAATTATAACTATCTGTCTTCAACTCCATCAAAGACCACAGAAGGATAATATATAAACATTAGGATTGATAGAGACACCTTCCTGCCTGGACAGTCACCTGATGTTCCTCTAACATTGGGGCATCCATCTTCAGCCCATAGGCCACAGTGTGTCTGGAAGACTTCTTAGCAAAGCAGGAAATTTCAAAGTTTCCATCTGCATTGGCATTCTGTCATTCATTTTTCTGTGTCCTGCAGAAAGTCTCGTAGACTCTTCCATGAAGCAGAAACCCTGAAGGACTGTTTGAGTTTAGCAGTCACTTTCCTGTGGGTCCTGCATGTCCAGTTTATACAGCAACAGTCAAACAGTCTAGGCAAGAGCATTTCTTGCCCAAATGGCTAACTTGCCATGTTGAAAGCAAACTTCATAACGAGTTTCTTCGATGCCCATCTTCCTCTCAGATGTAACTGGTGCTGTCAGGAGCAGACATTTCTCATTGTCAAGAAAAACCCTAAACCATTTTAAATGCCATTTTCTGAAGGTCTTTGAAAGGTTTGAAGACTATCTAGCTATCTCATATTTTTGTATATCTAGAAAACCTAACTAACCTAACTATAAGTTCTGACTATTATAGGTAACTATGTATAATCTGTGTTTTATTATGTATTACATTTTTTGTTGTTGGTTTTTTTGTTTTGTTTTTGTTTTTACGAGACAGGGTTTCTCTGTATTGTTTTGGAGGCTGTCGGTCCAGCCCAGCCTCGAATTCACAGAGATCTGCCTGCCTCTGCCTCCCGAGTGCTGGGATTAAAGGCGTGCGCCACCACCGCCCGGCTATGTATTACATTTTAAAAGATTAGTATAAGCACAATACTTAATCAAGAGGAGGAATATACATATCACAAAATTGACCTTGAATTTGTATCAATAAATGAAAAACCATACCCATACCAAGTATTCATTTCCATACCATAATACCCCTGTTACCATTAAAAACAAATTGGTTATGATCATTAACCAATTATAAGCAACCCCATTTTAAATGAAAACGAAGATTTATGAACAATATGGGAATTTGGACATAGCTCATTCCAAACTGTTTCCTGCTGGATGGGGGTGCTGTTCATACCATGGGGATCATGACAAAACTCAGAAACCTGTATAAGTTCTTATTTTTGGGGTCTGTAAGGCTGTATCATTTCAGCTGTCTTAATTGTTGGAACACCTGGCCCACTGCTTTCGGGGTCTTGGTTCATCAAACTACAGAAGTCTGGAAGAAATCCACAGCTTTCCATTTTTTGTGGAAACATAAACACTCTTTTCCCAAGTAACTGGTCCTCATATTTAATCTTAGAGGTCAAATCATTTTTGAAATATATAAGTTGGATTAATTTAGCAGTTTATAACTAAGCATATTTTAGCAGTTGTTCCTTCCTTAGCCACCGAACAACTGAAAAACATAATAGTATACAGTATCTAGACTTTTTGTGTATTTTTCATCTTTATGTGGCTTATATTACTCTATTTTTTTACTTTTATTTATTTCTCTGAGACAGGATTTCTCTGAAAGTCCACCTGTCTCTGCCTCTGGAGCAAATCCTACCGGCGTCTCTATTTACCACTATGTCATTTTCTTTTTCTCTCTCAGTCCTACATATATTTTTAAATACCCTGTAAACCTTTAGAGGTTTTTCTTTATCTGAATCTGACTTTACTGTAAATCTTCATGCTTTTGGCCACGTGTTTTATCTGTTAAAAACCATGGCTGTTTAAACTGTAGTTTTTCCAAGATGGCGGGAGTAAGTTTGACTCCAGCTCATCGCCTCAGTCTATGTTGACATCCAGCGAAAGCTGTCGGCTTGGAGATGTGGTCACTGTCACTTTCAGCTGTACATACACACATTTTAATTGTTAGCAGAGCCTCTTGGAAAACTTTGTTGGTTTTTTTTTTTTTTTGTGGCTTTTTGTTTATGCTGAGTCAGGAAGACTCCCTTAAGTGAGCTGCGTGAGTCTCTGCTTGTCTCTGGCAAAACAGAGCTTACCTGAGAAAAATGCTGCTACCAAGAAGCTGTGCTTCTCTCCGTTCCTTTGTTTCTAAAATCCTTTTTAATCTTGTCATTCTACGTGGAAATTTATGATCCCACTTCTATCACCATATGTAGAGTATAGTTTTCTCCGCCAGCTGCCTGGGCTCTGCCACAGGAAACTTTATCCCTTTAGGGAAGTTCTGGGGGCCCCAAAAGACATCTATTTTGCTGGGGCTGGTGTGAGTGGTGAGTTGGGGGACAGGAATCTAAGAAACTTTGGCTGCTCTATGCTTGGAATACAAACTAAAATGTCTCTGCATTTCTTTGATTGTGTGTGGATATAAAGATGTTAAGTAATGCATTTGCAGGTTTTACCGTGTGTGCTAATATTTCTACAAATATTTTGTCCACTGTTTAGTAGTTGAAGTCAGCAACTTATCCTATTTTTATATACAAACACCTCAGCTGTCCTGTTGTTGCAGGCTTAAGGAGTTTTTAAGTAAACATGTCCACTTAATGTGCTACCGGATCTGTGTACGAGCCCTGACAGCCATCATTACCTACCACAACAGGTGAGGGAACTTTATATTATTAACATAGAAGGCGAATCATTAACATTTGTCTGGAGCTAGTGATGCTTGTGAGGTGACAGGTGTATTCCAAACAAATTGATTCATGCCATTTTTATTGCTTTGCTTATATTTTATACCCAGGAAAAACAGACCAAGAAATGGTGGTATCTGTGTGGCTAATCATACATCTCCCATTGATGTGATCATCTTGGCCAGTGATGGCTACTATGCCATGGTACGAAGCCTCTTTTTGTGGTTTTCTGATTGGGACTAGGAGATCTCTAGGCCCTCCACAGGAAACTTCCTTGATTAAGGGTTCAGACATGTGAACATGTTTTTGTGTGCAGGTCCCAACTTAAGAGGGTCACCCTAGGGCTGGAGAGATGGCTCAGAGGTTAAGAGCACTGCCTGCTCTGCTCTTCCAGAAGTCCTGAGTTCAATTCCCAGCAACCACATGGTGGCTCACAGTCATCTGTAATGAGATCTGGTACCCTCTTGTGGTTTGTAGGCATACATGCAGACAGAACACTGTACACATAATAAGTAAATAGATAGATAGATAGATAGATAGATAGATAGATAGATAGATAGATAGATAGATAAATAAAGAGTGTCACTCTAGGACTAGATAGAAGCTGTTCTGAGTAGAGTGAGAGTATGGCTTGGGGTTGTGTCTTGTGTCCCTAGACTGAGGAGATTAGAAGAGAAGGGAGCCTTGGGAAAGCAAGGTGGAGAGGGCCATTGCATAAGCTACTCATCTTTATGTGTTTAACTGGAGTAGCCTCTGGTACTGATGGCTTAAGGAGAATTTAGAAACAAAGGAGTCTGAATGGTGGTTTCTTGATCATGAGAAAATTATGAAATATTAACAAGGAGAAGCTGGGGTGTGTATTTTGTGGGATTGGGGTCCTCCCCAGAGTGGGAGATTTGTGTAAGGGTGATTTCACTAATTATTCCTTTCTGTCTGAGTTTAGGTGGGGCAGATACACGGGGGCCTTATGGGTGTGATTCAAAGAGCCATGGTGAAAGCCTGCCCACATGTTTGGTTTGAGCGTTCTGAAGTGAAAGATCGCCACCTGGTGGCTAAGAGGTAAATGGGCAAAATGCTGTTCAGTTGGTCTGGTTAGAAAATACACACAAAATATTTTCAGGGTAGTTATCCCTTCTTACTGAGCCTATACAGTTGTTGTAATAAAGTTTTAGGACATCTAAAAAGGATGTAAATAAACTTATTTAAGTTTTCATTATATCCTTCCCAATAAACAAATTTGGAACTGTGGTTCTTGTTTGTTTTGGGTGGTACTGGGTGGGGCATTATATATGCTGGACAAATGGTCCATTACTGAGATTAATGGACTGAAAGCCAAAACACTTATTGACACTTCCATTTATTCCTGTATCCTAAAGACTGACTGAGCACGTACAAGATAAAAGTAAGCTGCCCATCCTCATCTTCCCAGAAGGTACAAAGTGATGGGAGTGGGAAACCAGCCCCTGAGTTCTGGGTAACACTGGGGAGGGGGGACTGGGCCCTGGCCCTGGGTAACACTGGGGGGGGGGGGGAACCGGGCCCTGGTCCTGGGTAACACTGGGACCTTTTAGCATGGGGGACTTAACAACTTGGGTCAATTCAGAAGTTTGGTTAATTTTCATAGTGTGTACCTCACCAGTGCAGGATCCTTTCTGGAATACTGCTGACAGGGAGCTTTTCAGTCTGTGGTAGAATACTCCCTCAGTCTGCTTGGCATCCCTGCTCCATACCTAAGGCTGGGACGGTGGCCTGAGGAATAAGGACTGCATTTGCAGCTGCCTTAGTGTTCATTCATGAGTTGGATGATGACTGGCTTACCCTGTTTGAGAATTATTTTTAGTGCTGAAGAAACACTGGGTAGAAGTCCAGAAAGGAAGGTTTTTTTTCTTGTCTGTGTTTCAGGAACCTGCATCAATAACACATCAGTGATGATGTTCAAAAAGGGAAGCTTTGAAATTGGAGCCACTGTTTACCCTGTTGCTATCAAGGTACAAGACCTCTGAGGCCAGCTCAGATGCGCAAGTGGGAGGGGGGAACTGGAGAACCCACTGGGGCTGCTGCTCTGTCTGCACCAGCACTGCAGACCATGTGGGCAGAGCAGTAGAAGAGGGTGCTTGCAGGATGCAGAGGGATGGGGGGTGTGGGAGAAGAAGAGCTGCAAGGTTCTGCAGCCAGAAAGTTCTTAAACTCTGTAATTGTGTCTCGCTCCTTTGTTGAAGTACAGGGCACTCTGACTGCCAGCAGCAGCGGAGGGGTTGTAAGCTGGACTGGTGCGGTGGGTAGAGAGGAGAGGGTGGGTGGATCCTTGTCTGCTGTGTGTAGCTAAGCACTCCACTGCGTTGGGTCTCAGTGTCCTCAGTGATGATGGAGTGGATACTGGGAGCTTCTCCACTCTTGTGTTCACCCTTCAGGAAGGACCTTGTCCTTCTAGCCAACCCCTTGGACTCTCTGGAAATGTGGGCTGGTTCAACCAGTCAGCTTCCCTGTATTGCTCAATCCCCTCATCTTCCTTGTAGCCTAGTGCAGATGTGTATTATTTCTAAAAGAATCCAGACCTCAAATGTTACTCCCCAAATAGATTGTTTTCAGTAATGTCATGTTCTTAGGCTGATGTTTTAGAGCAGGGCCAGAAGTTGTAAACAACTCAGCTTAGCCCCTGCCTTTTTGTTGTCTGTTTGCAGTGTTGTAGAAATGTGTCTCACTTGGTTTTCAGCTAGCTGACACAACTCCTGAGTAGGTGAACAACACCTTCTACTAGCTAAGCAACAAAGAAACCCTGTCTTGAAAAACCAAAAAGAAAAAACTCCCCCACAGATGTGCCCAGCCCCCTAGGTTTTAGTTAATTTCAGGTGAAGTCAAGCTAACAACCCTGAACAGCCATCGTACGGCCGTTGTCATCCGGCAGCCTAGCATAGTGGTGTGCATGGGGCTTTGTCAGCTGTGCTAGCGAGCTACCAGCCCTTTTTCCTTCACTGTGTTTGTGGAGTATCACCTGGGGGGTGGCTAGAAAGACTGGCAGGCCTCATGCCAGATTCTAAATGTCATTTTAGCAAGGCCCTGGTGAGACTTCAGATGTGGTAGACCCTCTGCTGTGCATCATGGCTCTCATCCATTGTGAAACATGGACTCTTGAAAGAATTAGGACTCCTGCAAAGTAAAATGCTTGTAAATCTTCATCCTGCTTACATATCACCAACTCCTGTTCTACAGATAGTTTCTAGGTTTTTCTTTTTTTGAAGTTCTGTTGGTATCTGAACATGGATAACCTCAACCTCAACAGTAACAGTGCTTTTATTATATTTTCTGCAATCATAAGTCATTATCTGATTGAGGATATTGTTATTTTGAATGTTTGTTTTGCCTTGCTTTGCTGTGGTGTCTACCTGGCATGGAAAGAGAATCAGTCCTAAATAGAAAGATTCATCTCTTATTCCTAACACAACCTCTGCTCGTGTGCTTATAACAAAAGAGTCAGTTTTGTTACCCAGGCTCAAAATCATCCTTTTACTTCAGTTTTCCAAGTAGCTGGATGACAGGTGTACTCCAATATGTCTAGCTAGCTGTACTATCTTTGTAATTATATACAGTAGGTTAGTTTTAAATTTTTATTTTCCCTTGTTTCTTACTGGTATTAAAAAATTCACTGTTACTATTTTTTTTTATTTTATTTTTATTTTTTTTTTGAGACAGGGTTTCTCTGTGGCTTTGGAGGCTGTCCTGGAACTCGCTTGGTAGTCCAGGCTGGTCTCGAACTTACAGAGATCCGCCTGCCTCTGCCTCCCGAGTGCTGGGATTAAAGGCGTGCTCCACCAACGCCCAGCTCACTGTTACTATTTCTTAAAAAAATTATCTGTATGAGGTGTATGAGGGTATGGGATCTCCAGGAACTAGTGTTAACAAACAGTTTGTGAGCTGTCATGTTATGTTGATGCTAGGAATTAAACCAGGATCCTCTGGAAGAGTAACCTTGAAGCCATCTCTCCAGCCCCTACAATTTAAAAATTGTTATTTTTTAATTTTATGTTTATGGGTGTTTTGTCTGCGTGTATCTGTGCATAACTTGTGTATCTGTGCATAACTTATGCACCTGGTGCCCGAGGAAGCCAGAAGAGAATATCCGGATCCCTGGAACCAGAGTTACATATGGCTGTGAGCTGATGTGTAGCTGCTGACTCAGGTCGTCTGGAAGAGCAGCAGTGCTCTTAACTGCTGAACCACCTCTCCAGCTCCTCTTAGTTTTTAAGATGCCAAGTTTCTTAGTTGCTGTTGTTACGTCTCTGTTTTTATAGTAAAGACTTAATCTCAACATAGTTGTTCAGTTTTTATTCTGAAATCGTAAACTTTGTCTGGGAAGTTGGACAGTTGAAACCCTATCCACTAGCATATGAATCTCCATGGCAGTCCTCCGCAGGCGTCCTTCTGCCAGGGAAGGACCAGTCGAGGTACCTTGGTCCTGTGGGATAGCTCTTGAAATTCTTGTATTTATGCGTCCTCTATGCTGACCCTCTGCTTTGTGATTCTGCAGTCAATGCACTGCCTTATCTGTCTCTTCAAACATTTGGTAGCAACTGCCCATGCTTTACTCAGGCAGGGTTCTCAAGGACTCAGCTCTTCCTGTTACCTCTCATGTACCTTCCCGCTCACCAGACTTTCCCACCCTGAGATTACTGTGGTCTAATAGTTCAGTGCCTACAATCTTATTTTCTCACAAAACATCTTGGAAACAGCCTTTCCCTCCATTAAAATCACTGACAAACCCAAATACCTAATACACCTGTCTTGTCGAGACCTCATGAGATTAACCTGTGTGGACCCATTTGCTAATGGATACTGGTGATGTTTTCTGCCTGAACAGAAATTCATTTTGTTAGGATTGTAAATATGTAAATTGTATTTGGAACACTTATTTAATAGCGTATATTGCAAGCTTTCTAAGTGTTTCTTTCTTGGTCTGGAGCATCAGAAATTCTCCTTTGAATGTCCCATGAAAAAGTTGGTTATGTATGAAGGTGACTTTGATTAGATATACTTTACATACATAAGTAGATGCCTTCAGAGGAAAGGATGCATGAAGCAATCACAGTGGACTGTTCCTAATTATTGAACCTAGGAAATGTGTGATTGAGAGTGTGCTGTCCTGCATCCTTTTCTGGATTGTCTGAAACCTATGTTTGCTTGTGAGTGCAAGATGAGGCTATCTGAGGCAGGAACTGTTTGGTGCGGTGGTCAGGAAAGACTCCCTGATGGCCTGATTGAATCTGGAGGACTGCAAGTCAGACTCCCATGGCTTTAGAACCACTTAGCAGTGTTTACTTGGGGCCAGGAATACCTCTTATCATGGCTCCCTGCCCCCGTGAACCCTTCACCAAGCATTGGTCACAGGTGCTTGGATATTCCTTATATCCAGTTTGCTCTCCTTTTGCAGTATGACCCTCAGTTTGGTGATGCCTTCTGGAATAGCAGCAAGTATGGGATGGTGACATACTTACTGAGAATGATGACCAGTTGGGCCATTGTCTGCAGTGTTTGGTACCTGCCTCCTATGACCAGAGAGGTAGGTATCTCCAGTCCTCCAGTGCAAGTCTTGGTGTGCTTTGGTATTTAGGAGTCTGGCAGAGTATTTCTTTCTTTTTTTGTTTGTTTGTTTGTTACAGAAAGATGAAGATGCTGTGCAGTTTGCCAACAGGGTGAAGTCTGCTATTGCCCGGCAGGGAGGATTGGTAGACCTTCTCTGGTGAGTAGAGCTGATTCCAGAGAATATGTACCTCTGAGGCAAAGGCCTTCCTAACCCTGGCACAGAGAGTGAAACCTGCTGGCCCTAGAGGAGGAATGGCCACACCCTTTCCCCCTAGTTCTAGCCTATAATGCCAGTGCTGTGTTGTCCTCCGGAACATGGAGTTGTGGCCTTTGCCCAGTCTGTTGGGGCTTCCAGACAGACTACCTGTGTGTGCCTCTAGGTAGAGACGACCTGACTTTGTTTGGAAACTTCAGAGGGAAGAGTGTAGAATTTCCTCTGTTGTCTGTATACTATTCTTTGAAAAGTTGGCATTTCTTTTACTTCATTATCTTGCCTGTCTCTTAGCACAGGAAGTTACACTTTTTCTATACAGTTTTTAGGTCTCTTGAAACCACTTGTTCGTGCCATTTGTAGTATGAAAGCAACCAAAGAGAATACACAAACAAGTAGTACTAGCTGTGTCCCATGAAACTTGTTTACAAGAACAGATGTGAGCCAGGGTGTGAATTAACCCCTAGCATCTGCAGTCGTTAAACTCATTAAACAGGAGCTTGCCCCATGTTTCTGGCCAATTTTCCTGGGATTTGAACCATACAGTGCATCCATGGTACTGCAGAGTTGACCAGTGGCCTTCTCTGCTGTTATATTATCCTTTGTGTTTTCAGGGATGGTGGACTGAAGAGAGAAAAGGTGAAGGACACATTCAAGGAGGAGCAGCAGAAACTGTATAGCAAGATGATTGTCGGTAACCATGAGGACCGGAGCCGGTCCTGAGCCTCTGTCTGGCACTGGTTGGAGCCACCACCTGTAAACCCTGACAAGTGAGCCAGCTGGAGTCGTTGCTGCCACAGCCTCTACCACCATCCCCACCTCCCACTGCTGCACCCTTCCAGACTCTAACCCTCAGGCTGTTCTGGACTCCAGGACTCTTAAGCTGCTTCAGAGCCCCATGGGCTACCAGCTGTCCTCTAAACAGAGTCCTGCTGGCTGAGGCTCCCCAGGACAAAACCTACCCCTTGTTCCTTTATAGTAAGCCTCTAAGAGGAATGCCATTAAAGCAGCTGTGGTGTATGCCAGCTGGTGGGAAGGCGGGCCCCATTCTTGCCCTGAAAGAATGTGGGGTGTTGCTGGGGAAGTCAGAAGAGCCACTGCCGAGGCAGGTGCCTAAACAGCCTCCAGCCTGGGAGCTCTTAGATGGGACAAAAAGGAAACTGTCTACATGAGTGTGTGTTTGATTCAGCAGACGGAGTCATAAGTTCTGTGTTCCTGCTTCAAAGATCACCAGAGGAGATAGGAAGACACCAGTGGGCCCCTGGCCAGTTGCTAGCCCCAGGAGTCCTTGATTTAGACTCCAGGCTGAGCTGAGTCCCCCACATGACTTGTCTGTTTACTGTGTCTCGCTTTCCCTAACTGTTACATGGAATTGCAAAGGGTGATGATAACCTACCTCACAGGGTTGTTGTGGGGGTTCCAGTGCTAGTCTATGTGAAGGAAACTGATGCTGGTCTCACAGGACAGCTCCATAGGATGTGAAAGGACAAGGTCAGAGCTCATGGCTACTGCCCAGGATTTTAACTTGTTTTGTGAGTAAATAAAACTGGATGGAAATGAATTTAGGGACTTGGCCTTCACTCCCGGAGAAATGTGGTTTTTGCCGGTTGATAACCGTGGTACTTGAAAATGACCCTGGGCGGCAGGGTCTGAACTCAGCTCTGGAATGAGGATGCTATTGCTCGGGGTAAACTTTCAGATTAGGTGTTTCCACATCTGTTTCTGGCTTTCTCCCCAGATGAACGCCATGAAAAACAAACGGTTGATAAGAGGCCCTGTCAGTGCGTTCTGGATTTGAGGGTTGTGAGGAGGGAACGGAAGTGCTGGGAAGAGCTGATGAGTTAGGCAGGCATGGGTACACTGCGTACACTCATGGCTAGAGGAGAATCGGCAGGCCTGCAAGCCACCCAGCAGCCACGAGGACAGATCCAGTGTCAGCCACTCAGTTGTTACTGCTGAAGTCACCAACTTGAGTTACCCCAAAGGAAGAGTACCCTCCCAGCCACATGCCACTGTTTGTAATGGTGCGGTCACTGCACTTTTCAGAATGCTGGGATTTGCGGCCATTCTGGGAGTGCAGACTGGCTCCCAAGGCTATGACCTGCTGCCACTCTGAGGCTCGAGGGCCCTGTGGTGTCACCCCTACCTTCCTGTCACCTCATAGCCTCCCATTTCTTCCTGCTTGCTCCGTTCCCAGTGGAAAAGACTTTTCAAATAAAACACTGTAAAAACAGCCTCTTCGGGGACTATTTTACAAATGTTCAAAAATAAGTGGGTTTCTGCTTAGGTAGAATGTAGTGTTTCAGTGCCGTCCCTTAAAAACGTCGAGGGTCAGGCATCCTTTAAATTTTCTGCTCAAGGTTTATTGCTGTAATTTCACAATCTGTGTAGGGAGTTCTTAATTGTTTTTACGTGGCTCACATCCCACTCACCCGTGAACAGGGAGGGAGGAGAAGTTTAGGAACAGTGAGGAGAAGTTCGGGCATCTTTCTGTAGCACTTGGCTCAAGCACTCAAGCTAGTCTGCTGCTTACTGACTGTAAGCAGGTCCTGCAGGTTTCCAGTTATCTGCCAGCCAGAGATTTGGTGTGGAGTTGGTCTTACAACATGATCCAGACTAGGTCCCAAGAACAGCCAAATACTGGAGAGCTTCAGTCCCACTTGTCAACCTGCTGCTCCCTTGCTGTACTGTCTTTATTTATCTTCTGGCTTAGATTTGGTGATTTCTGAGGCCTTAAACACCTGAAGTTTCAGTAGGTGTCCATGTGTGTGCCTATGTGTCTATGTATGGGTGGGTGCATTTGTGTAGTAGTGTATGTGGAGACCAGAGGAATCTTCAGTGGGGCCTCACCTTGTTTAGAGACATGGTCTCTCTTTGGCCTAGGCTGATTGGCCAGTGAGTCTGCAGTCTACTTCCCCAGCACCTCGATTAAAAGTAGAAGCCACCTTCCTTTTTTTTTTTTTTAATATTGGTTCTAGGAGCTCACACTCAGGTCTTCATGCTTGCAATGCAAGTGCTTTATTGACTGAGCTCTTTATTTCAGCTCAGATGTGAGCTTTGAGCCCTAAAATTGTGTGGGTTCCTAATCAGAAGCCCATTCTGAGCTATTGGCTCCCCCTGCAAACCTAGCTTGGGTAACTAACCACTGCCCTTGTCCTCAGGCATTTGTGCTGGGCTCAGACCTGCTGAGTCGTTGGGATTGTGGATTGCAGACAGTTTTCACTCAGACATGATGTCTTATCAGCTAGTTAAAGAGCTTTCTAGTTAGGCTAGCCAAGTTCCCCTGAGAACAGGAAGGAAGCGGGGTAGAAGGATGTCAGCCTGGCCAGGCCCCCATGAGCAAAGCTTGGTGGGAGCCATTTAATTTCAGACCATTCCCTGCTGGTACCCTTGAGAAATGAAAGAAACCTTGATGTGTGAGACACAGTGGGCCAGGACAGCAGCAAGGGGCATTTAGATCTTGAAAGGCTTGTCAGGGAGCACTCACCAATTGCCTTGTGGAAATGTGTGGCTTCCTTCTAGAATTTACCAAATTCCTACTCTCTAGGTTGATGTTCACTGCTGGCCCCTGGTGTTTGAAAGACGACACTACCATGTTGCTGCAGGTGCTCTACCTGCTGTACATTGTAGTTGCCAGACTCAGTTTCCCCAGGTACGCCACCCTGTTGGGCCTGCGATATCCCGACTGCTGCACACAGACTCTTGGACAGGCTAAGAGATGACCATCTAGCCATCCATCTTCCTTCGCGCTCGCTCCCCTCTCCCCCAGTCAATACGTCTCTCTCCGATGGGAAAGTTAATAAATTTTGCTCTAGATTAAAAGTATTGATTATTTCATTTGTAAACAATAAATAAAAAGGAGGAACTTTTCACTGCACCAGGGCTAGCATCTGGTGTATTTTGCTGGTGAAATTTTGCTCGCTGTTTGGGGGGTGGGCTTCTCATATGCATTCCGTCCGGCCAGCAGCATTGATTTCCTATTAGTCTCCCAGCACCACCCAGTAACACATCATTTCAGTACCTGCTATTAATGGTCTTTTGATAAATAATCACTTGTAAGTCAATAAATTTTTATTAAACACTGTAGCTCTTTGATTTATTAAAATCCGACTATGTTTGTCTGGGAGAAAAGGGATGCTGAATTGAAGTGGAGATTTTCATATATCTTCCTGACGCGGAGCAGTCACTGCACACTCTAGAGAAAAACAATTGCATTTTAACAGAAACAAAACAGCCGAGTTTGGAACTTGGGCCCAGGGAAACTTTATCTCAGTCAGTGTCGAGCTCACTCTGCTGGGAGCAATAGCAGGCCAGCAGAGTCAAGAACTTGTGTTGGCTTCTGAGCGGTGCGGTCAGTCCTCTGCTTGACACTGAGGGGCCTGGGCAGGTCTCTGGGGCACACACTAAGTAACCTTTCCCAGGGTCAAGTGGACCCTGAATCAAACACCTGTTGGAGCAGACACTTAAAATGGCCTGGAGACAAACTTTTAGCTGTCTGGCTATATTACCATGGCCACATCCAGGTCAGGGAATACCTAGACATGATGGGTGTTAATTATAAAAGTGAGTCAACAGCTACAGATGGGGAGTCTTCCTTTTTGTTGGCACAAATGCTTGCCGTACAGTGTGAAGTGTTGGACACCTTAACCCTGGCTGTAGATCTGTTGCTCTGTGGAGCTGCTCAGCCAGAGTCCGTCACCCAGGGGGATGTCAGGGAAAGGAAAACCAGGCTGGATGATCACAGAACAGCTGCAGCTCAGTGCTTAGCTTGCTGTTCAAGGATCTGTTATGTTCCCAGCACTTAACATCAGACGGTTTACGGCTTCTTTTAACTCCAGTTCTAGGGCACCTGGCATCCTTTTCTGGCCTCCTGGAACACACACACACACACACATACACACAAATAACTCTTTTAAAACAGCTGGAGGTCCTTGGCCCTAACCTTGGCCGTCTGTCCGTGGGCAGAGACATGACAGGAGGGTGGGAAGCAGTCCTTGATCCCAGAGTGCACACCTTTAATTCCAGCACTCTGGAAGCAAGGGCAGGTGGGCCTCTGAATTCAAGGCTAGCTTAATCTACAGAATGGAATACACAGTGGGACCCTGTCTTGAGGAAAATAAATCCACTGGCGCGCTCTGATGTCTCCTACCTGCTGCAGGTTTCTCAGGAACTAGCTGCTGAGGTTTCCTCTTTTGTCCCAGGCTAGGGTGGTGTGCTGCCATCAGGGGACCTTGAAGGTGAACAAGTATCACCACAGTACTGTCTGAGCACACGGCTTTCTGTCCCTAGATGAAGGAGGTTGGTCAGGGAGCCTGACTCCTCCTCTAAGGACTTCAGACCTGGGTCTGAGCCCCAGTCTCTGGTGTGGTGCACCACGCCAAGGAAGCCAAAGGAAACATGAATAGAGCTTTCTAGAGCACTGGGTGACTTGGAGTTTCATGTGCAAAATTCAAGCCCGTTATTTTTTTTTTTACAGTAAATCTTGCTTTGTAGCCTAAGTTGGCCTTGAACCTGTTACACTCCTGCTCAGCCTCCGTGTGTGCCACTACACCCAGCTCAAGATCACTCTCAAGATGGAACAGACAACTTCCTAAACCTATGTCGCTTCACCTCACTTCTGCCCAGCGTCATTTCCCCCTGGGAGGACTGGGTGGGGGTGTGAATCATCTTCGCGTTTCCTCTGCACCAGGACGATTTCCTGTGAGGTCAAAAGTCATGGGAGAGGAGCTCCTTGCGCGGAAGCTCCTGTTCTAGCTGAAGTCAAGGTCAGGGGCAGAAGCCGGGACAAAGATGGCGTCACGAAGGACAAATGGTACCACCCACCAGATAGTTCACCACCTGTTGAAGCCAGGAGGCAACAGAAGACAGAGGGAACAGCAGCGATCGGGGATCCCCGTTGGTAGGAAGGGAGGAGACATGCTTCCAGAAGAGAGGATCTGGGTATCCTAGGGATAGCTGTGACCACGTGTGTGCCCCCTCCACCCACCTTGACACGAGCCACTTCCTGGATCACTGGTGCAGTACTGAGAACCGTAGCTAGGGCCTGCCCACTAGGTCCCATGAGTCTCAGTGGAAGACCCCAGGCTGCCCGAGATCTGCATCCCACCCCAGGGCCTAGACAGGCATCTGGCTCTTCCTTGGTAAGCAGCAGGTGGCCACCGGAGGCGACTAGAGGCATGAGCCCTCCTGCTTGGCCCTGCTCCTAGTGCATGACGCTGCCGCCTCCCTCCTGGGCCCCGAGAAGGGCTTGCTGCAGCAGATTGATCGGCCAGCTGTGATTTGTCATCTCTGAGACAGGAGCTGCTTTCTCTTGCTTCAGGAGGCCCCTTCGACACCTGCTTTATTTTTCTTCCTGCGCTGACGTGACGGGAGACAGGTGTTAAACTACTTAATCACTTTAAAATTGTTTTAATTTTCTGTTTTTTATTGATCGCTCCAGCACCAATTAATCAGCTCAGTGGACCAGGCAGTTAGTACATTAAAAATTGTCAGGGAGGCCGTGCATCTTGCAAAATGTCTAAAAAATATTCGGCTAACAAATTTTGTTTTTCCTTGGCATGC